TCTCTCAGCACTTTTCCCTCGTCGTCGTCCCGAATCAGCTGCGTCGGCAAAACCTCTATCACCGCGTCCGCATACTGCTTCTGCGGATCTGCATTATTCGGGTATATATATACACACACACATATTAATAGAGAAAGAGATGAAGAATCATTGGATTTCTCATTATTCAACATGTAACATTACAATATTTATAGCAGAAACAAAAAATTTTAATTATTTTCTATTATTAATAATTAATAATTAATAAGGGGTCCCATAAATTTAGAGACCCTGTTCCATCGCACCTTTTGAACATGTTAATAGACGGCTATGATATATATATATATATATATATATATATATATATAACGTTATAAGCCTGTTAATTGGGATATGTACTCTCTTATCCAAGGGGAGATTATATTTGGATAGTAAAATAAAATATGAGGGTAAGTTGTCATGATTATTATCGCTATTGTAATTGTATATATGAATCCTGATTCGTTAGGAGGAGTATATATTATATTAATCAGGGTAATCCTGAGTTTGTTGGACGATATTTTTCTCAAAGATTGATTTATAATTGAGTATGAATTATTTGTGTATATGAATGCGTACGTTAGAAACGCGTGGATGACAATCAAGTAGAACGACACGACCGATATTAGAATTCTGATAATCATAACGCATTTAACCCTTTGCGACCTTTCTAATCATAAATCATATGAGGTAATACTGTCTAAATTTTGATTCTTTAGTTTCGTAAATAGAAAATCATTCAGGTCAATTGATTCGCACAAAAAAAAAAATCTAAATGATTTCAGTGATAAAATTTTGTTACGAATATATATATATACACACACACATATTATAGTCGTGAAAGCGTCTGTTAATTTTTTATAATATCAAAATAAAAAGAATAGACGATAGATAGACAGACGCTTCTACACTATTATATCCATTGGTCATTTATATAGTATGGTCTAATAATTCGTGCGACCGGCAAAGCGAGAGAATAGAAGACAAAGAAGAAAAAAAAAATCCACTTGGCTCTCCTCCCCCATTCCCTTCTTCTCACCGTTTCTCGCGAGGAAAAGAGAAATCCCCAGAAAATGTGTTGAGAATTTTCTTCTCCGTATTCGGATGACGAAGAGAAATTGGCGGGAAATTAGATGGAGAATGAAAATGTGCCGGGATCGTTCGGCACGAGCGGCAGCTTCGCTCTTCGCTTGGGCCAAACCGTCTTCTCTTCCGCTTCGCTTCTCTTGTTGTGCTTCGACTACGGACTCTACGACTACACTGCTTTTTGGTAAATCTCCTCATCTTCATGAAATTTGTTTCCCCGTCCCGAGTGAATTGAGCCCTAGCTGTCGAATTGAGTTGATGGGTTCATGATTTAGTTGTGTTTGACCTTGGGTTTGGGTAAAATTGTCCTGGAATTATCTCTGATTCCGATAGATTACGAGTTCAAGCTGGTCAACAAATGAATTCAAGGGTTCGCATGATTTGTTCAATCGAATCGGACTGTGGGATTCTATTGTTTGATAAATGATCATACCTTCAGAATTGACTTCGTGTATGTGTGTTTGGATGATCAGAGTTCTTGATGTGTGGTTAATCAAAACCCACTTCAGAATTGATTTGTGGTCTTTTAGAGTTTCTTGGTTTGGTACTGTTTGCTTGGCAGATGGGTTTGAGACGAATCATATCCCAAGAGTTTGGTTCATCTTTCATAAATGTAATCAGAAAGGCCTTCGTTGCTGTGAAAACTGAAGATGAAGCAAGTTTTTTTCTGGACTCTTAAAACTTCAACTGCCAAGTATTCAGACACTTTGTTTACACTGAAATGTCCTTAAGCCGGTGCGATACATGTTTGTGTTTCGGTTTTTTTAGATTATCAGTTGTTTAATCATCGACTATTCTCAGCTATTTAGTGACTGTAATGGGACTGGTGACACCATGGAGCATGACTCTGGCAATCTTCGATTTTTACTCTCTACTCGTGAAACGCCTTCCTCCACAAGCAAGAGTGCTCTCCATTGTCGTTGCTGGAGATTTTGTAAGTGAATGACAGATCAATCAAATACCCCATACACTGTTTGGTCTTACTCTTCTTCCTAACAATGAAAAAGCTTCGTCCTTTTTTGTTTCAATATTTCTGGTTACAGGTTCTGTCCTTTCTATCATTAGGTGGTGCGAGTGCCGTGGCCAGCGTTACAGATCTATTGCTTGACGCAGGTGGGTCATTCTGCCGGAAGAAGATCTGCGGCCGATACCAACTCTCAGCTGCAATGGCGTTCCTGTCGTGGTTTCTGTCTTTTGCTTCGACCATCTTCAATCTCTGGATTCTACCCTCGGCATATTCTTGAAGGGCTAATTGCGCTGTACAGACGTAACATGTACACACACACACACACGTGCAGGCTAAATCAATCAAAGGAGCTGGCGGAAATAAGAGATTGTGTTAAATACGTCGGAAGTGTGGAAGGTTTTGGACTCAGGTAAGAACTGAAAGAAGGTTGTAGATCTCAGTTTTGTTATTTGTCTGATAGAAATAAATTGTGGTTAAAAAAACACACACACACACAAGGCGAGAAGTGCTTTGTATGGAATAATTGGATTGAAATGTAAAGGTTCCAAATATGTGAATAATTTACATAAAGCATAGAATATATGTACTTGATTTCGCAGCTACAGAATTGTCAGATATTTAATTGCGGCAACAAGGGTTTTTGTTTTTTCCTTTTCGTTGAGACTTGAGAGATGGGAAAAGGAAAATTTTCTTTTGTGGAGACGAAACTAAAAAGGAAATTTGTTTGAATAAAAAGTTATTAAAGGAGTTTCATTGTAATGGAAATTCCCGTAGTTGAAGAACCGTAGGCCTCTTAACTCGTAGTATATCAGTATAAATAAAGAATAACACGCAAGGGAGGAGATAAAAATTGATTTGCTTAGAGCCCAAGTTACAGAGAGAGAGATGGAGAAAAGCCTTGAATCTCTGAGGAGGCATCCATGGCTGATTCCAATGGTGAAATCGAAGCTTTTTCATGAAAAATGCGAAGAGCACGCCAACAAGAAGCGATGTTACTTCTGCTGCGACTGCATGACCCCTCCGTTCTGCTCTCTCTGCCAAAAGAGCTCTCAGAACCATCAGGGCCACACCCTCATCCAAGTAAAATTCCCGCTTTCTTGCTCATTTGGTTGATGGGCTTCGGCCTAAATCCTCATCTCTTGATTTGAATTGCAGACCTACAGGAGTTCCTACCAGTCCGGGGTTCAGATTCAGACTATGTCCAAGTACTTTGACACTTCTGAGATATCCATCTACGTCATAAACTCCCACAAGATTATTTACATCAACCAGAGACGCGACAAAGAACATGCCTCTCGAGCCAATGCTGCCTGCAAATGCCAAGTCTGCGCATGGGAACTCGACCCTGCCTCTTCCGCTAAGTTCTGTTCTATAGAATGCAAGGTATCCACGATTCTATGAATTATGATCATTTTTTTCTCGATTAAAAGGAAGAAAAAGAAAACCCTAGAAGAATTCCTCGAGTTTACACTCATCAGTTACGTTGTTGTGGCAGTTGAGGAGTCTGCTCGGATCGAAACTGGATGAACTGATCGAGAAACAAGAACCAGCAAGAACTGAAACTGAAGTCGTCGTCCCCAAACCTGTCAGAAGACACAGAAGGAAAGGGATTCCGCAGAGAGGTCCGATGTTCGAGACTTGTTAGATTCGCAAACGAAAGAATAGGAAGAAAATCGGGGTTTGTGTAGTTGGATATTCTTTTATATATTAAAATAAAATCAAATCTGTTACGGCCCTCTAATAGATAGAGTTTAGCAAACAAACAGTTTAATCTGTGAAGATATCGATAACCGCATATCTTCTTATACATCAATGTCCAATCAAAATAGACTATGTTTCTTGGCTCCATCATATAATTTAACCCATTGATAATGATCGATGGCAAATGTTAATTTCTGATATTAGCACTTCATAAACTCTGTTTCGTCTCTCTTAAAAGCAACTAACGTCGGAAATAATTTGATTTAATTATCTTATTCTGCCCATATATTATAGTATTAAATGCGCATGGTTGCGAACATTAAAGAAAATATATGGTCTCGTTTCGGTAGTAAATATCGAGACATGTCGACGACACTCGCCCGCGTCTGGGCGTGGGACAGCGCATACAGTGCGAGAGATTCTCTCTTAACCTTCCAATACTTTTTTTTTTCCTTTTTATTTTATTTATAACAACAATAGTTTCCTTATATTTACAAGAAAAAAAAAAACAATAGTTTCTTTATTCGATAGATCGTGATTTTGGAGGGAAAATAAGGGCATATTTCATCAGGGAGATCAGATTCATGTTAAATAAAAATGTGTTTTCACTCACCAAATTTCAAAGATATTTATTGTAAGCTACCAACTATATATGTGTATATAAGTATATAGAAATGTTGATACCAGAATTCGATGTATCCATCGATTCGAATCGAATATTACCGGGAGACAATGTATTCTGCACAAAAACAACCGACAGTATGGATAGATCGTTTGATAACGGATGTATCCATGTTATTTATTCGATAGATCGTGATTTTGGAGGGAAAATAAGGGCATATTTCATCAGGGAGATCAGATTCATGTTAAATAAAAATGTGTTTTCACTCACCAAATTTCAAAGATATTTATTGTAAGCTACCAACTATATATGTGTATATAAGTATATAGAAATGTTGATACCAGAATTCGATGTATCCATCGATTCGAATCGAATATTACCGGGAGACAATGTATTCTGCACAAAAACACCCGACAGTATGGATAGATCGTTTGATAACGGATGTATCCATGTTATTGGATAACGCCGGTACCAGACAATGTTACAATGCAACACGAAAGATGACAAGTTATAGTTATATATTTGCAATTATTTCAAGTTAATTTACGGTAAGATTATAGTTATATATTTTTCAAATATTTAAATGATTTAAATCTGTACTACATAATATTATGTTCGTATCACAAAAAGGAAAAGTTAGATACGGCTTTATGAGCTCAGAGAAAATGATCATCCGATAATTTAGTGCTGGGTTGTCATTACGGGGCCCTAATGATTTTATGAGATGGTCCCATTTAATAAATACACATTCATGCAAAATTAAAATAACAATAATCAATATACATGACATTAAGACGTATAAAGAAAAGGCCCGAATCTCACAGTGGGTAAACCATATACCAACAGAATCTAAAACTGGACCAAACCGGGTGGGCCCCATCCCCACCACCCACAACACATGGACATGCCTCGGCAACCCCACCCGCCGGAGACCGAACCTCCGGCCATCTCGTCTTTGTCGGCTTGCCTGCCACGTGTCACCCTACTCTTCCGGCACTTCGTCCCCTTCCTCCCCCCTTCCGGCCCACGTTTCCCCTTCCTTTCTTTCCGAATTGCCCCTGAGGTTCCCTGTCCACGTCACCTGAATGCACTTCTCACAGGAGGGCTCTCTCGTAAATTCATTCAACCAACCCGTGGCCCCGGCATGCATAATAGCTGTCATGTTCTGTCGCGTAATCGCTACAAGACAAAATCCGACGTGGTAGGAGTTTTCGAATCACGAGGCTGTCTTATTCTGCGAACCCTCACATATATATAACCATCCATCATAGTCGTCTCTCCTTCACAATACAGATCCCATTCTCTCTACAACTGAAGTTAACTCGGACGAGTTAAGGTAAAAACACCGAGTCACAGCCGATCCAGTAGAAGGAAGCGACTAAGAAAATGGGAGCTTGCGGTTCACGTGAAGCTGGGAGGATGGATACGGCGAAGCTGATCTTACCGGACGGGACTTTGCAGGAATTCTCGTCGCCGGTGAAGGTGTGGCAGATCCTGCAGAAGAATCCGACGTGCTTTGTCTGCAACTCCGACGAGATGGACTTCGACGACGCCGTTTCGGCTGTCAACGGCAGCGAGGATCTCCGGCCTGGCCAGCTGTATTTCGTTCTACCGCTGACGTGGCTCAACCATCCTCTCCGGGCGAAGGAAATGGCGGCCTTGGCCGTCAAAGCAAGCCTTGCGTTGACGAAAAGCGGCGGCGCGTGGGATGAGCATTGGACCTGCGGCGAAGATAACTCTTACTCCGGCAGAGAATCTCACCGGAAATTATCCGGGGGGGAGACTAAGGGCCGTAGAGCGAGACGCAACAGCAACACCGTCGGCGGAGGTTGCGGGAAAGGGAAGAGGAGGTTCGCGGCGGAGTTGAGCACCATAGCAGAGTAGGGGCAGTTATGTAATTTTTGGGGTTTGAAAACTGTTCAACGTGTAAATTGTTGTTAGAGAGAGTTTGACTTTTTTTCTAAAAAAAAAAATCCCGATCCGAGTAGATTTGTACAAGTCGGCAAAATCTGCGCTTTTAGATCACGGAGATGAATATGATGGGCACTTTTGAGTTCATCCTCTGCGGTCAATCCCAAGCCATGGTTCACGTTGTACATTTACGGATTTGCCCTTGTTTGTAGATATCGTATAATTAAAATTATAAGACATTAATAATCTTTTCTTTTCTAACAAGTAAACAGTAGCTGTATGCATATACAATTTATGAGCAAGAGGGTGGCGCAGCCCGATCCGATGCTTCAAGTACGCGATGGGACTAAGTAGTTTACATTCGACAAACCACCTGATGATCAAACTCTGGATTTCGGTTTGTTTGACATAATTAGACAAAACTAAGTAGTTTAATTTTCCATGTCAGATAATATATTAGGGTTTAGGGTAACAGTTAATTTGATTGAAGATTTTATGATCTGTTGGTTCTCGTAAGCCTCGTATTAAGATGTTTCCCTTAAAAAAAAAAGAGAGAGATTATTATTAAGATTGTTACCGTTGAATTTGTTGACCTAAACGGGCCGTTGCGAATATTGGGTCACGTAAATTGGGCCGTCACTCCGGACAGTGACATTTGTAATGAATGCAGGCCACATGCACACGCACCAAACTTACTCGAGTCAATCAAGATCACGTGACATGATAATGAGTCTCTGGATTTTCATCCTTAAAAAATCATAAATTATTTCTTGGATATTTTTTTTGGTAAAACTTTCATGGATATTAATTACGTTAGAAAAATAATTATCTTACGAGTAAAATGTTACACCTCAGTTCTTTATTAATGGAAAACACCAAGTTTGTAAATTGTAACCGTACGTTCGCCTATCAAATCTCTTAACTCCGATTAATAATAACAAGCGTTTTTATTCGTCTAAATTGTCTCCACATATAAGGTTTACTCTTTATTTTTCTCTAATATAATAATTATCTTACGAGTACACATAACTAAACATAAGAAGAAACGATTACTAAACAGCTATAAAAAGCAGGTCGACTCATCAGGTTCCGAACAACAAAAAGATACCAAAATGGCTAATTATTGCTACATCATCCTGGCCGCGCTTCTGGTTCTAGCCACGACCCACCGCTCCACCGCCATACCCGCCGGATCAACGCCGGCGAAACGCACTCCCAAGACCCTCTCCGCCGCGGAAAAGGATTTCCTCGATGCCCACAACGAGGCGAGAGCCGCCGTGGGCGTGGCGCCGCTGGCATGGAGCCAGGCCCTGACCACCGCCGCCAGCCGGTTCGCGAGGTACCAGAGGAACCAGAAGAACTGCGAGTTCGCGAATCTTAACCGTGGGAAATACGGTGCGAACCAGCTCTGGGTGAAGGGGATGGCCATGCCACCGCGCTCGGCCGTGGAGGCGTGGGTCAACGAGAAGGAGTTCTACGACTACGGGACTGACACGTGCGCCGCCAACCACACGTGCGCCGTATACAAGCAGGTCGTGTGGAGGAACTCCAAGGAGCTCGGGTGTGCTCAGGCCACGTGTCCCAAGGACTCGACGGTTCTCACCATTTGCTTGTATAACCCTCCTGGTAATATCGATGGTCAAAAGCCCTACTAGAAACTACTCTTCCTAAATGCGATCGTGGGTTCAGCA